TGCAGTTTGGCAACAGAAGCCTCCCTGCAATGCACGGAAGCAGTTGTTCTGTTCTAGAAAGAAGACCAGACATTTGTTAATTATTGATTCAACTAGTTAACCAATGCAAGAGAGCAGGGATATGGGTCTAAATGATGAAACAGAGGTGATGTGAATAAGTAATTGATTCACGTTATTTCATCACTCCGCACTCTCTGGGTTGAATATTTTCTGAGTTATAAGCGTTGAAGTAGTTAAACCGTAAGAGGTCGTTTTGCGGTAAGCACTATTGACGAGTGCTAAATGTTGTGGTCGAGTGCGGAGTTTTACTGATAGTGCTGTGTGGTGGTTTAAATTAAAATATTATTTTTTGATTTTCGGCTTGTGTATACAAGATGCTTATATAGTCGTAAGATTCGACTGTTCAAACCAAGATAAGGCAATAAGTTTAATTGTATGAGCATGAGTATATTGCCGTTTTAAGCATAAGTTATTTGTCAGATTTTTTTATTTTTTGATTTGTAAAACACAAAAAGGGGATATGCGTAGTTTGAGTGCCCAATTTTTCAACATAGGATAATGAAAAACGTTAATTTACTTCTTGGCAAATTCGCGGAATTCGTTCAGCCGCGGCGTTCCATCGATCAATCGTTCGCCACTTCAGCGACTTCAGCGTCTTCGGCGTCTTCAGCTTTTAAGTGTTACCCCTTGTGAATCAAGTCACGAAAAGTTCAAGAATCGGCAACAGGCCATGGGCCTATTTCTTCAACGCCGACACTTCTATTCTATTCTAGATCTTGACCCTCAGATGAATTTATCGTTTATCACTTTCACAAATATAAGGAAACAGAGAGGTTTGCAGGAACGTCCTCTTTCAACAACGGTTCAACCTTCTCTCTGCCCTATTCTTTCATTAATTCGTGGCGTCGCCGCACGGGCGACATTCAAAAATATAACAGTTAATTTAAAGTGACCCTAGAGACATAATCGCTAATGCTTTTTCGCTCACGTGTATTGTGGTCACTGAATACGCAAAAAATTTTGAGCCGTAACTAAGCTATTGGCAGCGGGTGCCATACTCTGTAGCAGATTTAAGTTGACACTCTACGTAGGGCTCAATTTTCATGAACTCGCCGGCTTGCCTTCCCATTATCTCCCTGATATTTTTTTATTCCTTTTCTACTGATATATATGTTGTTACAAAATTTGTGAATAATCATCTGTTACGAAACAAGTATAAGGAAAATCTCACAAATTATTGACGAAATTGATTTTGATTTGCAAAATTAACAGCTATATTTTTACTACTTCATGGGAAATAAATGTCAACTGATAAACAACGAGACAGTTTTATATCAGTAACTCGACTTGACATTACATTTTTTCATGGGTAGCTATTATATTTTGAACTTGACATAAAAACCGACCACTTACTCACCGTGCAATTAGTTTTCAAATTGCCCAAGATTATGTACAAATAATTACATATACAATATATATACCAACTGATTATTTAACTTATTTCAAAAACAGTTTACATGTAAATGATATACGTTAATCTTACAGTCAAGGTAATGCAATAGATTATAGAACATACGTTGTTTACAATTTGTGGCAAAAAGTCTGTACCCGGAAATTTTTGAAGGAATTTTAGTCTACGCGAAGTGCGAGAAAATAATAAATATATAATTCTTAATAGAGGGTTGCTCAAGTTTCTACCAGACTTTCTGAGGTTAGGGAGAATAAATCTAGATTTTGGGGCAAGATTTTGTTCCATCGATTTCTTGGAGAGAAGCCGTTGACAATTTTCATCAAATTGCGAGGATTTGAGAAGTGAAGAGACACAATTCATTAATAACGATCTAATACCGACAACTTGGTAAAATTTTGTCCCGAAGTCGTACATGCTCTCCAGTCAGACAGGGTTTCAATACGACAATACCCCATTTACCTTTATATGTTACTTAAAGCGTTCATATTAAGGTGACGCAACGAATTGAATCAACTATTACTACATAGATATTATATGATAACGAACATTCCTCATCGCAGCTGGTTAACTCCTTTTCACGCTTAATTCCTTCTGCATTTATTTGATTCACAGAAATTCTTTTGCTCTCTCACAGATTATTTCATAACCCTAG